ATGCAACAAACCTTTTTTCGCATGTTCTTTTGGGTTTTTTTGGGCTGACCCTGACACCGGTCTCACCAGTCTCTACCCTATTTCCCAAGCCAGCCAGCCACAACACCATGAATTCCTTAGGGAGGTGCCAGCTTCATCTTCTTGAACTTCCCACGCTCCTGTTGGGAGCTAAGAACACGCTTATCTCCCTGAGCCTGGCCTTCATATGTCCATTCCATCACAGATTCAGAGCTATTCTGGAAATCTCAGGGGAAGTTATTAGAAGAAGGGTTGTTCAAGCATTGGCAGAATTTTTAAATTGGGAAGAGATCAATGAGATTGATAAGGTGTATTGGGTAAATTCATGTTATGCAGCAATAAGACATGTACTAAGAGATGTGTTTGTACACTTCACAAAAAAAGAACCAGGGATCAAGTTCTGCAATGGCATTTTACTACCAGATTGAAGACTGACAAAATGAAACTAATCATATTAAAAGAAATTCCCATCAGAATCTTATGCAAGAGAAAGGCCTTTTTTTTTTTGATGGAGGTACTGAAACAGAATATTTTGTTTTATTGGGATAAACTGGAGGGAGTGATTTTTACTTTCCAATAGAAAAGATTTTGATTGAATTCTGTTCATAATGCCAAAGAATTTCTGGAAAAATTTAAAGGAGACCTGGAGGAGATACAAGTGGAGGAGGATGAGCAGACCATCTTAAAAGCCAAATAGGTCCAGGCAGAAGATAAAAAAGAGACCCTGAGTTGGGTGCCACAGGTATAGACTTTTCTAAAGTACTGGCTTAATTGTGGATTATAAATGGCTAATGTGGAACATAAATGGAGCAAATGCTCCACAGAAGAAAAGTGTTTCACTATTTAAAAAAACTTAAATAAGATGTAATTTGTTTATAAGAAACTCTTATTAGAAAAAAGGATATAAAATACTTGATTTATAAGAATTTGGACAAGTATTTATTTTGGCAGGTCCAAAAAAAGTTAATGGAGTTGTGTTATACGTCAATCCACAATTAAAACCAAAATTAGTATTGGCTGATGAAAATGGTAGATTGTTGAAGTAGAAGTCAAACTATGGGGAATTAGAACATTCATCTTGGGACTTTACACTCCAAATGAAGATAAAGGAAAATTTTTAAAATGTCTTATAGAAAAACTGACAAATGTTTCTTATGAAAATTGGTGCCTGATGGGAGATTGGAATGGAGTGGTTTACCCACAATTGGATAGAACATCAGAGAAGGAAGTTAAAAGGAACCAGGGTAAACTACCATTTTTTTGATTTGATGGACAATTTATCTTTAGTGGATATATGGAGACAGAAAAATGGCACTTGTAAAGAATATACTTATTTTTCAGAAAGACAGATCATTCTCAAAGATAGACATGATTTGGATTTCAAAGGCTCTGACTGTTAATACTTCTAAAGTGGAGATTTTACCAAATAATTTTTCTGATCATAACCCAGTGAATTGGACTGTTAAAAGGAAATCTAATTCATTCAGATGGAGACTAAATGAAATGTTGCTGCAAAAGAAAAAGATAGTGAAAGATTGTAAAAAAAGATTCATGGATAATTTTTTAGATCAATTTAAATAAAGGTATGGATCCAAGAAAGGTTTGGGATGCAAGCAAAGCTTTTATTAGAGGATATTTCATACAGCATAATGTTGAGTTCAAAAAGAAGAATCAAGAAAAAATGCAAAATATGTTGAATGAGATAAAGAAGAAAGAGGATGAATTAAAGTTAACACCAGAAAAATTAAGTATTTCAAACCAAATTAAGCTTTTACAGCAATAGCTATCTATGTTAACAGTGAGAGAATTGGGGAAAAAAAATGAACTATGCCAAGCAAACAAACAAAAAAATGAATTTGCAAACAAGCTGGGGAGATAGTTGGCATATAAATTAAGAAAGGAGAAAGAAAATTACAAAACTTCAAGAGGGTGATATTGCAATAATGGACAATGAGACTATACAAAACGTTTTTCATCAGTATTACTCTAATTTATACAAAAGACAAGATATCTCTCTGGAAAAAATAGATGACTACTTAAACAAAATTTGCCAAAGCTTTCAGATAAGCAAAGATAGATTATGAATGGACCTATAACAATAATGGAAGTATCTGAAGCTATTAAAAAGATGAAACCAACTAAAGCACCAGGACCAGATGGGCTTCTGGGATCGTATTATAAAAATTTTGAGGATGACATTCTACAACCGCTCCAATCTATAATGAATTTTATATTGGTGGAAAGTGCCATGCCAGAGTCTTGGAAGGAGGTCAGTATAGTGTTATTACGTAAAGAAGGACAAGATTTGACTTTAACTAAAAATTTTAGACCAATATCAGTATTGAATAATGACCATAAACTGTTCACAATTATTTTAACTGCTAGATTGAAAGTTATATTACAAGGATTTATTTATGAAAATCAGTGTGGATTTTTACCTAAAAGACAATGAAAAGATGATGTTAGAATGGTGTTGGACATTATAGATTATTTGGAACAGCATAATGAAAAACAAGCTGCATTAATCTTTTTGGATGCAGAGAAAGCTTTTGACAACTTAAATTGGCCTTTTATGTTTAAAGTTTTGGGAGATATGAACGTTGGAGAGAATTTTATAAAAGGAGTAAAATCAATTTATACATCACGGCCTTACGGCTTTCAGGAGCACTGCCCCACAGTGAGACTCTCTTCCTTAGGTTGGGCTCTAGGGATCATTTGGGATTGTTGCTGTTGACCAGCCTCCCTGCCGAATAGCAACCTCCCTGCCTGAGCTCCTCTTTGCCATGGCTCCCTCCTTGTGGAACATTTTCCCTAAGGAGTTAGGCTCACCCCTTCCCTGCCGTCATTTAAGAAGTCCCTCAAGATCTGGTTGTGTCATCAGGCCTGAGGATCTTTGGGAACCGGGGACATTTTTAGATGGCTCTACTGTAATTGATATTGTGCTCTCTCTGTGGGGTTTGTATATTTTAAATCTTTTTTTAAATCTTTTTTTTTAAAATGTGTGATACTGTTTTTTATACTAATAATAACTTATCTTTTTATAGTGCCTGTTTTTATTCACTTGTTATTTTATTTTAATTGTTGTACACCGCTTAGAGTTGCTTTGTGTGAGATGGGCAGCTATAAAATGTGATGTATAACTAAATAAATGATGTATAAACACATCACAGAAAGCACAAATTATTGTGAATGGAGACTTAACTAAATCATGTGAGATACAAAAGGGAACAAGACAAGATTGCCCACTGTCTCCCCTTTTGTTTATTTTAGTTTTGGAAGTTTTGAATAGAGATATAAGGAGAGATGAGAAGATAAAGGACATACAAATAAAAAAAGACTCATATAAGTTGAGAGTCTGCAGATGATTTGGTATTGGTTTTAGAGGACCCCCTGAAGGGGATTGAAGCTTTAAAGAAAAAATTGAAAGGATTTGGTGCTTTGGCTGGTTTTAAAATTAATAAATAAAAGACTAAAATGTTAAACATATGAAGATACAAGAACAAGGAGAACTGATGAACAAAATGGGTTTTAAGGTAGAAAAAAAGGTTAAATATTTGGGGGTGAATCTGACAAGTAGCAATTGTATGTTGTTTCAAAATAATTATGTTAAGACTTGGAATGAAATTAAAAAAGATATGT